GGACTGACTTATGGATGTTCAGGTTCCCAGGTGGCAGCAAACCTGATCTTCTCTTACAGCAGAGACACTGCTCCCCCAGTCCCTATCTTCCAACCCATCTGCTTAAGGGTTGCATGAATGTGTGAAGAGCAGCCACCAGCAAAGACTGATGCAATAAAAGTTGTTGCGTATCTCAGCTTTCTCCTTGTCCAGAGTTACCAGCCTGGCTGTATTGCTCACTATGGGGGTACACCGTCCTGTGCTTTCTAAATTTCTGAAGTGTGAGAGTCAACTGGATGGGGCCAGTCTCCTTCCAGTGCTGTGTGAGGATAGAACAAAGGACAACGGGCAGAAACTGTAACACAGGAAGTTTCACACAAACAGAAGGAAGAACTTTTTTACTGTGAGAGTGACAGAGCTCTGGAACAGGCATCCCAGAGAGGGAAACCTAGGGGGAGTCTCCTTTTCTGGAGGTATTCAAGACCCATCTGGACACTCTTCTGTGTGTGTGAACAGAACCTGCTTTAGTAGGGGAGTGGACTAGATGATCTCCAGAGGTCCCTTATGATTCCTACAGTTCTGTGATTCCTTGATTTCCAGAAGCTCAGAAGGGACCCACGGTCACAGAGCTTTTCAATGTGGGCAAAAATGCATACCTAATATACTTCAATAATTCTGTAAATGACAGAACCATTTTGTTATTGGACCTCAGAACACTTCTTTACATAGGATATGATATATTCTGTCCTACAGAGGAGAAGCAATTCTGTTTGTAACCACAAGCTGCCAAAAGTAACGGGGAATCTGTACCTGAGCAGGACAATGAATCTACAGCAACTGTATGCCCAGTATGACACCCACTCACATTCCATCTCTGCTTCAGATCCAGAGCAGAAAAGTCAGCAGTGCTACATCTGCATGCAAAACCACCATGCTCCAGACAAAGCCAAAACTGCGGTACTGCAATACATTCAGTACCTCTGGAGGTGCAAATTTTTAGTTAGCACAACCAGACAGACTCTATGAGACCTGAATGAGTTTTCCATTGATTATTTATAATTGAATGAAACCAATTACAGCACTTGTAATGGAAACTACACATACTCTAACCTTTTTTGATCCAATAGAAATCATCTGTACATCTGTTATTCAGTTCCTATTACCTGTTCCCACCTATGCTTTTCAACCTGCTAGGTGCCTCAAGCACCAGCAGCAGGAATGCCCTCTTTCTGGGACTCGATTCAAGGAAGCACAAGCACCAACAGTATTTGTTGCAGATAACTACTTGTGATAGACAAGCAAAAAAACGGGACTCCCCCTAGTGAACAAGAGCATCCCTCACATACAGTGCTTTAATCAAGACACTTGCAGTATGCTCCTGATCAACAGGGACTGACCTACACTTTTTTTTTTGTATTTTAATATTTCTGTAATTATAATTTAAATATTTTAAGGACTACAGAATTTTATCAGGAGAGAAGAGAGAATTTGGCTTACAATGAATAAGCAAGCACATATACCTCCCCAGATGCCAGAGGCCAGCATGCATTTCAGAACTCCTCCTCCAAGCATTTTAATTGGGGATATTTTATTTCCACTTGGGATAAAAAATAAAAAATAAAAAGCAGGAAAGGTGCAAAAATACAGTTTGGTCTAAAGCAATACAGTAGACTGAGTGCATGAGAAAACAGCACTCACTTTTAAAACACAAAAAGAGGAAAAGTATGGAGAAAGTCACAAAAATGACAAGGAAGAGTGAACAAAGTTGGTGTCTCTACCTGGCTCCAAGAAGCAATCAGGGCTCCTACCAATATGAAAGACAATTAGATTTCAGCAGACAAGCCAGAAAGTAATGATTGTGAATGCTGATGCTGCAGACCGTGGCTGGCCCACATTAGGTTAAGTAAGCTGGATGCAAGCCAGTATCATTGAACAAATGGCACAGCACATTCTGGAGGAATCTGAGGAGAGGTTACTAATATCTTAAAGGTGACCTTTCACACATGCTATCCCAGCAAATGGGGCAATTTCTTGGCTGTAATGGAAGAGATGAGCAGAGGTTACTCTCTTGTAATTATGCACCCTTACTATAAATAGGATTTTTTAATATATAATTTTATAATAATTGACTGAACCTCATTTGAGGAAAGTACACTGTGCACTCTATTGGTTTCCTTCAGTCCTTTCTCTTGTTTGAAAGAAAAAAATGTAACTTCTTATTCATTATCATTCAGGCGGGCAGCAAGCTCAAAAATGAACTCTAATTTTTAGTTGTATTACCTATTAAAAAATGTAAAATGTTTCCCAAAAGGGCAGGTGCATTAATTAAGGCTGCCTCAGGAAAAATGAAAATTACTAGGAGGGCTCTGCTTTCCTGAATGAGTTTTCCATAGATTATTTGTAATTGAATGAAACCAATTACAGCACTTGTAATGGAAACTACACATACATTAAACATTTTCATTTTTGCAGAAGTTAAACTTCATGCAAGGGAAAAGGTCTCTACATTTATGTGAATGGAAAAGAGAAGTCATCTTTTTCTGAAAAAATAAAGTTACAAAACCTTCTTAGAGTAATCTGAAAGGGTACTATCGTATAATTGAGAACTGGGGCCCAGATTCCAAGAAGCCATCTCACAGACAGAAATCCTAAAGCTGGACATTAAACTCCTTTCCATTTCTTCAGAGACGGAAACTCAACTTAATTAGGCTCGATTTTCTAAATAAAGGTTATCCTCTGAACTACTCAGTAAAGTTTTAAATCAATATCAGACTAAATACTTGCTCAAATAGTGGAACACGCTCTGTCTTCAAATCACAATCTTACCCTGCAGAAATCTGATCTCTGAAAAAGCTAAAGACTGAGAATAACAAACTGGTATACAGTCCCTCATTGTCAAACAGAAAACACCCTTTACTACCCTGCAGAGCAGTCCCTAAACCAACACACAATCTTTTCTTTTTTCTTTTCTTTTTTTTTTTTCCTTCTTTTTTTTTGCTTGGGAGAAAGAATTAATGTAGTTTCAAACAACACCTCTGAATGCATTCTGAATGGAAGAAAGAAAGCGTTTCAAAGTTTCAAAGCAAGGGAACTGAGAAAGACTAAAGTCAAAAAAAAAAAAGATATGAATATCCATCAAAGAAAATTGTCACAAACTTCAGAGGTAATGCCGCTTTGAAATCAGCTAGAAGTAGTATACTCATTGACTTCATCTGTAATTATCTGGTATCATCTGGATTATGTATGCATTTTACTCCATCATTAAACTAAACAAGAGCATACAAAGAGGCTTACAAATGCCATGCAGAATTACAATTCAGTATTTTGTAGCATGTTGTATATATAGCAAAAAGTATTATCTCTCAGACCATTTTTGCTGCCAGTAGTCAGGAAGCTTCAGATTATTCCTAATTACTACTGCGTAATCAATAATGAAGCAATGCGATGATTTAAGAGGTATCTATCTATACTCAGATAAAACTAGTATGTATTAATTAAGAATATATTTTCCTAGATTTGCATATAAATAATCTGATAAGGAAAATGAGAACAGATGTGAGAATATTGTTCATTATGCATTCCGGACTTAACACTGCTTTATGTTATACATAAACATATACATATATGTTATACATAAACATATACATATGTGTTATGATGCTACCAGCAAGACGTTAGCAGGAGCAAGATCTGTTCTACACCACATGTGGGCTCCAAGGCCAATAGCGTAGCAGCTAAGAAAGTAGACAAATCTTTTCTTAATATTTCATGTTTATCCCCGTTTATCAAACTAGCAGATGTGAGTGTCATGGATGTAAAGGAAAAGCAGAACCTCAGGCAATGTGAACTAAAATCACTTCAAACGATACAGTTAAAATTCTATCAGATAACTAGGAGTGGGGGGCATTTATTTATTTATTTATTATTTTTATATATCAGTTGCATATATACGGTCACTGTTTCCAACAGCTCTTCTAAACTGAAGGGAGCTGTGGCACTACATATCTTGGAAGGTTACAAATTACAGCCATTTCCTCCTGGCAAAAAAATGTTCTTAGCCCAGAAACACCCCTGCCATATTTTCTTTGCACAGAATCTTTCAGCTCTTTTTTCCTTTTACATAATAGATGACCCAAGTTCAGAATAGGAATTAAATTTTAGATCTGAACATTTCCTTCTAAATTCCTTTCCTAAGAAAGAGAGATCTAGTCGCATTTCTCTTTTTAAATTAGATTTTCTCCTCTTTAAGGCCACACTACATTTTGATAGCCATGTTAAACTTCACAGAGATGTCATCAGATAACACCATTACTCATTTCAATAATTTCCGCTGTAACTTTCAAAAGCTTGAGAGAATATCAATCAGTCAAGATGATGCTATTATTTATAAGAACTCTGCCATCCTAGTTATGTTCACCTTAGTCTCCCACTTTAAAAAGATGGAATTAATTTACTGTATTTGTGTTCTTCTGCTAATGTAAATGCTATCAAATAAGCATCTTTCCTATTGCTTCTTCCAACTTTCATTGGAGGAGGGTACTCACTGTAGACCTCTCCTACCTTTCTGATGTCTCAACCATCAGCACAAAAATGAAGTGACTATTAAATTATGAAGAAGTAAATTTCTTTGAATTTATTTGGAAACACACTGTTTCAACCCTCTATATTATTGCCTATGGAATGCCTCCATACATTACAAATACTTACATGCCAGGGGAACATTGTTTCTAGAATTCCAGGATCGACTATTTTAAAGTATGAAAAGTATGCTGTTGATATCAAGTATAATATTGTAATATACTGCAGACAAGCTAGAAATACCTCCACCACACCCCCATCCCTCCTTTCATTTCAGTGCAGACTCTACTGAACCCCTTCCATAATGTTTTCATGGACTGTTCATGTGATCCAAAAAGATCTGGTTGAAAATCAAAAGTTGATCTACAGAAAACACAAACTTGTTCAAATATTTAGTAATGAAATTTATAGATGGGGGTAGGGAGTGATCACCTAGCACTTACTGTAGCAGAAAGCTGTGGTCCATTTAACTGTGCGTGCAGGATGGCTTCATTGATGGAGTTCCAGATTCCCGTCAGTGCTATTTCCAGATCATGCGAGGCACCCATTTCATTAGTCAGATATTCCAGTGTGGAGATATACTCCCTCCATTGCATATCCAGTTCCGACACACTGGCCAAACAGCCCCTCATCACGTTCAGACAGTATCCAACACAGGGTCTGATCAGTGTCAGACCCTGGCAATGTGGGCAGTACTGCATCCTCACTAGAGCTCTACTGCACTCCTTGGTGAGGGCAGCATGTTCAGTAGTATTTATCACTTCAGTGCCCAGACTGAGGGCCTGGCTGAGCATCCTACTTGCCCAAAGAGATTTTGACAGCTCTGTAACCATGTTTTTAGAATAGTGTCCAAAAGGATTTATGTCTTGCCTCGTAAGCCGAAGACATTCTGTATAGTCCTCTGACAAATCAGTAATTCCTGGATTTATTAGCCGACTATACACCAGAGGAAAAAGACTGTCAAAAAAACGTAATACTGCATTTTCCACTGTAGTCTCTGCACCCAGGATGTAGAGGGAGATGTCTGTAAAAAGTTCTTTAACAGGCTCTGCTGCTTCTTTTGCCATAGGTCTGTAAGCTGCCTCAAACAGAGATCTTGTGCGATTTTCAGCTAAGCGCAGGAAGGACTCAAAGGCCTCTAAAAAAAAGGGGCAGGAGAGAGAGAGAGAGAGAGAAAGATGTTAGATGTTAACAGCAAGCAGCTTGCATCTAATTCACAGAACTAACAATGTCCTGAGCAGGGACACCCACAGGTATACAAAATCAGCAGTATGGATACACTAATAGTTAATACAGCTTTCATCAGTAACATGACAAAAAAGACAGGTAAATATTACATGTGCATAATAAAGAAATGTCTTAACACAGACTTTTTTTTTTTTTTCTTTTTTTTTTTTAAGAAAGATTACTGTATTCTCTCTAGTTAGACCCTGGCTCAAGCTCTAGTGGTCACTGCTAGATCTTCACAGACTCCAGTGGGCACAGGTCTGATGTATCTGGATTTTTTAATTTTTATTTTTAACTCACACTGCATTTGGGCAATACAGCTAGACATGTCACCAAAACATCCCTTACATCAACAAGCACTGCTGGTTTTGAGTACTTAGAGAGGACTACAACATTTTCAATGTCTTGAATATGTCTCTATAAAACTACACAGCAGAATACTTGAACAGGCAGAATTATGGAAGCCATGCAACTGTGGAACTATGACAGGAATACCTGATAACAGGGAGGTTCCACAATACACCCATCACACAATTAGTACTGCACAGGGCCATATAAATAATTATACAATATCAGCATTTAATAAAATACAGGGCAAAAATTCATTTTTAATCTTCCTATAAACCTGCAATAAAGATGCAGTGAAGCCTGACAAAAGTCAAAGAATAAGATGTACATCTCATCAATGCTCAGAAATGTTCATCCTCATTCATTACCTGTACTTCTCAACTGTAGCTATTTGAAATGATTTAATAATTTAACAGTCTGTGAAAGCAGTATCTTGATAACACAATGACAGCTTAAAGTTTTGCTAGCTTTTCATCCCAGGTATCTACTGCTATGAAATAACATTGCATCAAAAATGGGGAAAAGTGTAAAGGCAATTATGTTGTATGAAATGTTGTCTAGACGTACAAAAAACATATGTGTGCACATTTGGATAGCTGACGTGCAGAGTGGATACATGCTAGAATGAAGGACAAGACAAAGCTAATGTACAAAGAGCTGCTGGACAGCAGCTCAATGACAGATTGATATAAGTGAATGTAAACGTAAGCTGGAGCTTTTCTTTCATAGTCCTGTGAGTGGGTGGCTGAGATGCACTTCTTGCAAAGAACAAATGAGGAATAAGAGAATATACTGTGTGAAGAAATTCTCTCACTGTTAACATCAGCTTGGCCTGAGCTCCAGCCAGAACTTGACATTGAGTTCTCTATAAAGGAGATGAAATTTTAAGTTCAGGAAAGCAGTATTTCACTTTGCTACACCATTTTTGAATGCTTTAAAAAAAAAAAGAAAAAGAAAAAGAAAAAAGAAAAAAGATTTAAGAAATGCTGTAGTTAAGGCATTTGAAATTGCACAATGTAACTATTATACTCTGACCAAGGTGCTAGAATTTGTAGACAGATTTGTAGACAGTAACAAGCATAGAATCAATTCCCAAGATTATTTTTTGATGACACAGAAGTCAGTAATCTGAACTATTCCCACTGCTTTCTTTGGAAACTGTACAACAAAAAGCCTCTGACGTAAATCATGCTCACACTTCTCTGAATGGCAAGTGGTTCCTGCTAAGGGAGGAAACCTATCACTCTGTGCCCCCTGAGGACTGGCCAGATAATGGGTTTTCAGTCTAATCCTACTCTGCATTCAGCTGAACATCACCATGCAATTCAGACCAATGTAACACAAACTGATCTAGCCCAAAGATCAGCTCAGCAAAGGAGCTGACACAATACTGTAAGATTAGCACACACTGGCCAAGTTTTGCAGAAGAGCCTGCTCACTGCCTTCCTCTGTTACATCTCTCTGGGCAACTGGCTTGTTTGCTATGTGGAGCACTACAATCCCTTCAGCACAAAGGGCAATTTAACGATATAGATAATACAAGATATCTCACTGTACATTAGTATTTTACACACACGCACGAGCTGTTTCCTTCTGCCTGAGAATCACTTCAGCATTCTCACTGATGCTAAACCACCAATACTTTGAAAGAATATCAAAAAATGAAACGCGTTTCCATTTAAAAAGAAAGACGCTCTTTCTCAGACAGAGAAACATCTTGCCAAGTTTCAGGATGAAGCAGACTTTTACAGCTGCGTTAAAAAAAAATCCTAACTTGGTCAGTGATGGAAATGCTGACACAACTAAATTGTAATGCAGTCAGCTACATGCCACTGTACCATTAGATTTTTTTTGTGTTTGACAATTCACCTGAATTCACCTACCTTTATTTGTATGAAAAATCTAACCACCATCTTTATTTATCACATTGAAAAGACAACGGAAATCTGAAGAGCATGAAAAAAGTGCCATTGGGAGCTTTCTCTTTCACTTCATCCCTTATAAGTAAGCAGCCTACCATTAGGTTATGGAAGCAGGGACTCTCTCCAATGATGCCAGTAGATTCTTACACACCCTTGCCTTCCACCTCTGTAAACTCTGCAACTATCACCCTCCTTATCTGAATAAATGAAACACATTTATGAATTTACACGTATTCTCAATTTCCTGGAAAATAACAGCCCCTAGTGAAAGATGAGTCGCTCACAATGTACCTCCCAACAAAACAGATTTTAGGAGCTTCCTGGGGTAATAGGTTGTAGACTAGAAATCATATAAGCCCTTTACTTTCAAATGTCCCTTGACTATCAAAATTCTGCATGCAATTAAATGGAAATGCATTATTTTGTGACAGGTATGAAATTAAAATAGTTGAGTGCCGTTTATTTTTCTTTACACAAGAGAAATGATAATGGCACATAGCTTTATTCCTCTTGCAAAAAGAGCCAGAGCATCGAGTGTTCAATACAAAAACATTGCTGGTTGTAGGTACACTGCAAACATCTGTAAGGTACCATATGCTTCCTTATGCCAATGATAAATCTAAGAATCACCCTTGAGAAGGAAATGTGCAGGACTTGACTTTTTTGTTGTAAGGCATTAAGAGACAGTAGAGAATCAAATTACTGGGTCAGCTGGATATTCTTAGATCTTTTCTTAGAAATAATGCAGCTTCAAGCAGTTGTGCAAGAGAGTCTACCTATCCTTTTTTAAAGATGATTATTTACTTTAAATGGACTTTCTACGGTACTTTGCACACTTCCTAGACCTCAAAGGTCTAAGAAGTAGGATGTTTCTCTGTGTAGTCTCAGCACACTCAAAGAAGAAAAATACTTGGTCATCTTTACAGTCCTTCATCTCAACCTTCCACAGAATCAAAGTACAAATATATGCAAATATGTTGATTCTGAGCAGAAATAAGTTGTAAAATTCTCCAGAATGTGAAGGAGACATTATGTAAGTTTTTCCTTCATTTATTATTAAAATAAATAGGCAGATAGAAATCCACAGTTGTTCTCATGCTCCTCAAGAGCCACTTTTTTGACTGAAGTCTACAGGGAGAAATCAAAGCCATGTCTGGAGCCTGAACTAACACACCAGTGACTCCTTAATGAACATCACCTTCACGAGGAGAATTTTGTTCATATTGTTCATCCTGTGCTTACAAAGCAGAAGCAGATTTTAACCAACATTACAGACCAAAGAAAAGTACCTAACATTTTAACACTAGGGTGGGAACCACCTTTCCAAAATAAAGTCAGTTTAAGCACCAGACACCCCTGTGCACAGAGGGCCATTTTTGTTGCTCGGCAGCAGAGGCTCACATACAACAGGCCTATTCCAGCTGAAACCCGAGTCTTCCAAGGCCAGCCTTCCAAAACTGAGTGCAAACATCGACACGTGTGAAGGGCAAGTTACTGTCACTGCTGTTAGGCTTCTGTGTGCACCTCACACCACAGCATGGACAAGGGAGTAATGCCCTGCTAATGCAAGGCCTCTACGTTTATCATTCCTTTCCTTCTGCAATAACTGAATACACGTTAACTTACAAAACAAAAGTCCTCCTGCAACAAGGAAAACCACTGTATTATAAACATTAATGACAATATTTAGGAATGGTCAAGAAACCAAAAGTAGAAGCCAGCACTGTATCTAACTATACAGAAATAACGTATGTATACACTTTAGATTTGTGCGTGATCATAAAAGAAGAATGACAAATTGAAGTTGCTCCATTATTTCTTGGGTCTCTTAGGACCACACTAACATTTGGCCCCTTTCCCTTCAATATCTTTCACTTAGTACCAAGTTACAAAATGCATGAAAGCTAGATTTGTTGAAAGCAGCTTCCTTTTAATGCTTTCAAGTCCTTTAAATCTTCTGCCAAAACACAGGACAAGACAAACACATTCTGCAGCAGTAGGAATGAAGTACAGGTTATTTGAAATTTGATGCAGAATTCTATGTACACAACAAGAAGTCACACTTGTACAAATTCTCGTAACACACACAATAAAATTCAGAGTTCCATATTCATTCATAAGCAACAATATCTAAACATTTATGTATGTGAACAAAAATAACAAAGATTGCTCAGATAGCATCATTAAATAACAAACAAATTTGGGTTGTGGGATTTTTGTTTCTTTGTTTGTTTGTTTGTTTTTTTAGATTTTAGGATTATTTTGGAAAAGAATGTAAGTGCAAAACACACTGTGTCACATTTAGAGAGACAGAACCTGAACTCCATTAAGCTACTTAAAGAAACTTTCTGCTGCATTTCTTTACTTCTAGCAAAACACCACAATACAGAATGTCACGGGCTGGACCTTTTCTTCTGCTTTGTCCTCAGTCATTACACTGAAAAAAGCACCAAAGCTCTTTATTAACACATAATTTATCACTTTTTCATGTGTTTTTAGAATGGCAGGCTTCCTACATGTACATGCAGTAGCTCTTCACAAAACTGATCAAGAATAACATCTTAATAAGCATCATAATATAAGCAGTCTCATGGAAATAAGATGCCCAGCATGTAAGCAGGAAATACTGCAACCTTGCTCA